GGCAAGACCCTGTCTCAAAACAAACAAACAAAAACAAACCCAAAGCTCACACTTCTCTGCATCACCCAAATCTCACTCTATTCCCTAAGGGCAGGGACTTTGTCCATTTTATTTGTTGTGTAACCCCTGTTTCTAGAAAGCACCTGACATGTGATATGCACTGAAGTGAAGGAAGATATGATTGATCTGAATTCTAAAGGGTGAGGAGGAGTTACCTGGGAGACGGAGGGAGGGGATTTCAGGCAGAGGGAACAGCCTATGCAGAGGCTAGAGAGCAGGTTACATTTGAGACTGAAAGGAGTGGGTGTGTGGAACAGTGGCGGGAGAAGACTGAGGCAGGAGGAGTTCTGACCTGTCTCCAACGAGCCGTAGATTTTCAGCAGTGATTTTAGTATCGTGATTCAGTTTGCGTTTCGGAAAGATTTCTCTCTTGCGTTTTGGAAGACAGACCATAGCAGGGGGCTACAGAGCAAGGTTGAATGCAGGAGGGGTACAAAAGAGAACACCTGGACTTCCAGCTTCTGCTGCATGGATGGGTAGTTGGGCCATTGCATAAGATAGTAACACAGGAAGAGAATGAGGTTTGTCTGGGAAAGATCATGCATTTGGTCTTCACCATGGTGAGCTTGAGTCATGTAACCTTTGAGTCATGTAAGTTGCTGTTGACAGAAGTCTGTGCTGAAGGTACAGGCCTGAGAATTATCTGTGTAGAAGTTTGGGATGAAGCCATGGGCACGGATGAGATGGCCTAGGGAGGCAGGAGGTGGTGGGATGAGAGCCGGGCCTAGGAGTTGAGAAATGACAGGAGAGTTTGAAACTGAGAAGGAGCTGCCAGAGAAGCGGGAGACCCCAGAAATTGCGGTGGTATCCCAGAAGGCTGTGGACGCACATGTTTCCCAACGAGGAAGTGATAGGTCTGTCCATTGTTGAGGAGTGAGCACTGGAAAATGTCCTCTGCTTTGACAATTTGGAGGTTGCTTCTGGCATGCTGGGGGCAGAAGCCAAATTGGAGTGAGCAGAGGTGAGGATATGAAGACTGGAGCATAGGCAAGTTTTTGGATCAGTGTGGCTGTGTGGGAAGAGAGAAGGTGATGCTGGAGGGGAGAGAAGCGTTGAGGGAAGTTTTGCTTATTTATTTTTGAGAGTTTTGCTCTTGTCGCCCAGTCTGGAGTGCAGTGGCTCCATCTCGGCCCACTGTAACCTCTGCCTTTTGGTTCAAGCGATTCTCCTGCCTCAGCCTCCCGAGTAGGTGGGATTCCAGGCATGCGCCACCATGCCCGGCTAATTTTTGTATTTTTAGTAGAGACGGGGTTTCACTATGTGGTCAGGCTGGTCTCCAACTCCTGACCTCCGGTGATCCACCTGCCTCAGCCTCCCAAAGTGCTAGGATTATAGGTGTGAGCCACCACGCCTGGCCAGGAAGTTGTATTTTAAAATAAGTCTTGAGTTTTGTTAATGTGTTATAGGAGAAGTTGAATTGGCGAGGCAGTGGGCTTCTAGATGGAGAGAGCAGGCTATACAAAGCCTGGAGGCTTCCAAGTGCTTGTGCTTCTGGGCAGTGAGACTTTTGTGCAGCTGGAGCAGAGGTGGGTGGGGAAGCGCAGTAAGAAGCACCGCGGGAAAGGTGGGCCCGGTTGGAAAGGATCTGGTGTGGGCCTGGGCAGCACACCACACTAACAAAGTTTGAAGAGATTGCAAAGCCCAGTCTGAGAGGCAACCATAGTAACTGGGAGCTGTTTCCGGAGGAAATAGGGCAGGGGAGGGCAGATGAGAGGTTTGTTGTCTTTTCTATGGGACTCCATATTTGATTAGGTTCAGGGGGTTGTAAGGGGAAAAAATACGATGGAAGAAAGCACTGCTGTTCTTTGCTCAAGAGGATGTTTGATTAACTGGAGTATTAACACAGCACAGAAAGTTGGAAGCAAGCAGATCGGGGGTGGACATTTAGGGGGCAGTTTTCAGGTCGTCTGCTGCTGTGTAAACTCTGCCATCAACATCTTGGGCTTTGAAGCCACAGAACGCTGGACCTCAATATGTCGTTGCAAAAAATCAGTGTAGGAATGATGCTTGTTTTACTCCAGAACAGGTCGTTTTCAGTGGGCTCTTGAGAAATAGAGGTTTTATAGCTCAGACACCAGAGCCAGTCTATTATGGAGCGAGAGAATTCTAGTTCCCCCAATTAAAAGCTGAGTGACTTTGGGCAAGTTACTTTGTCTCTCTAATGCCTCAGTTTTCTAATCTGTAAACTTAAGGTAATAAGAGTGCCTGATGCATGAGATTGTTTGGGGATTAAATGAGAAATGCTCATAAAGCACTTAGAACAGCGTTGGACACATTTTAAGTACTCAGAAAGAGGTAATGATAGAGGTAGAAGTAACCATAGTCATTGGTTTTGGGGTCTCCAGTGTTGTCGTTCCATTGGTAAAGCACCAGGTGGCGACAAAGCACGCATTTTTGGCTTCCTCGCATTCCACTGTTAGAACTCCTTGAGTAGCTTAACTTGTTCTCTTCAGATCCCTAGTTGATGCAAAGTGAAGTATTTTGTTTCTTTCCTTTCTCCCTCTGGCTTCTTTAAAAACTTCTGGTTGAAACTCATTTGTTTTGAGACTCTTATTTAAATTTCACTCGTAAAATTAAAAAAAAAATGTTTTGACTGAAGTAGCACGTGCACATGGTAAAACGCCGGATGATGCAGAATAGCTGTTAGTGAAGGCAGCATGCGCCTGCCCCGCCCTCCACCCTGTCCTGCTCTCCAGGAGCACCCCCTACTTATTTTTTTGGTGGGAGAGATGGAGTCTCACTCTGTTGCCCAGGCTGGAGTGTAGTGGCACAAATCTTGGTTCACTGTAACCTCTGCCTCCTGGGTTCAAGGGATTCTCCTGCCTCAGCCTCCTGAATAGCTGGGACTACAGGTGAGTACTGCAGTGCTCAGCACCCCCCACTTTTTTTTTCTTTGTTTTAAGACAGGGTCTTGCCCTGCCACCCATGCCCGACTGCAGAGGTGAATCACAGCTCACTGCAGCCTCAAATGATTCTCTAACCTCAGCTTCCTAAAGTGTTAGGATTATAGGCGTGAGCCGCTGCACCCAGCCAGCACCCACTTTTAACTGTTATTATGGCCACATCTTTTTGAATAGCTGAATTTGTATTACTCCAACCAAAGTATTTGGCATTCTAATGATTTGGTACTATTTCTTAGAGTCAAGGAGAGTAGCAGTAGTGGGTTTCATGATGTGCTTCCTCTGTGTACCCCTACACAGGGACATCACAGTCACTGTGATGGGCATTTGGCAAAGTCCCCAATCTTGGGTCACTAGTCACTGGGGGAACCAGTAAGTACTAGTGAGTACGGTGTGGTACATGCTTTGGGGGAGCACTAGAGAGGGTGAATACGTAGCCTCTCCTGGGAGGACTGTCCGGAAGAGGTAAAGAGCTGAGCAGAGTTAAAGATCAGACCTGATTTGAGAGGCAGGAAGGACAAGGAAAAGGTGCTCCCGGCAGGGTGGGCAGCAGGTCAAGCAAGGCAAATGGTGAGAGCGTGGTACAGCTGCAGGAGGCTGGAGGGTAAGATTTTTGGGTTGGAGGCAGGGCTGTGCTGATGAAGGCAGCATGGAGAAGGGAGGGTTAGTCAAAGGCATTTCATGCTATGTCAGAAGTTGGATCTTGTCTGAGAAAAATAAGGAACTGCTGAAAGGTTTTAAAGGTAAAGCCACACAGTTACACATGTATTTTGCAAAGATCACTCCTGAAGCAGTGTGCCGAATGAACTGCATGGCTTTAGACTACTTAGGAGATGACTGGGATAGTCTAGGTAAGCAATGGCAAGGGCCTGCCCTGAGGCAGTGACAGAAACCGGAGGTGGACCGGGCCTGAGAAATGAAAAAGAGGGAGACTTAATAGGAGGGGAATGGAAAAGTTGAGGACGGTTCCCAGGTTTCTGGTTTGGGTTGCTGGATGCGTGGTGATTCCTATGCATGAGCTCCGAAGTCCTGTTGAAGAAATAGTTTTTTTTTTTTTAAATTTTTGAGACAGAGTTTTGCTCTTGTTACCCAGGCTAGAGTGCAGTGGCATGATCTCTGCTCACTGCAATCTCTACCTTCTGGGTTCCAGTGACTCTCCTGCCTCAGCCTCCCCGGTAACTGGTATTGCAGGTGCCCACCACCACACCTGGCTAGAACTAGAAGGTTTTAAGCTCATTTTGTTTTTTATTTTTATTTTTATTGAGACTGGGTCTAGCTCTGCTTCCTAGCTGGAGTGTAGTGGCATGAACATAGCTCACTGCAGCCTCAACTTCCTGAGGTCAAGCAGTCCTACCTCAGCCTTCCAGGTAGCTGGGGCCATAGGCACATGCCACCATGCTCAGCTAATTTTTGAAATTTTTTGTAGAAATGGGTCTTATCATGCTACCCAGGCTGGTCTTGAACTCCTGAGTTCAAGGAACCTTCCTACCTCAGCCTCCCAGAGGCCTGGGATTACAGGGGTGAGCCACTGCACCCAGCCTTAAGCTCATTTTAGATTTGTTGAGCCTGACTTGGCCTTGGTGACATCTAAGTGGAGATGCCAGTACAGCTAGAATCAGGAGCCTCTGCCACTTAGTAGGTTTGTCATCTTCATCAGATTACTTGCCAGTCAAGCCCCAGTTTCTTTTTCAGGTAAATGGGGATTATATCTACCAAAGGGTCGTTACGTCATTAAAAGGAAGAGCTTCATAAAAACCCAGCACAGGCCATGGCCAGACCAGCGATTGTGAAGTGGTTTCCTTCTTTCCTTTCTAAGGTTCAGAAGGACTCCAGTGCCTTTAGGCTTATTGCTTTTTGTATGAAGTGAGCAATTTTGGGTAATAATAGTGTCCTATAGAAAGTAACTACTTAAAAAACTAAATTCATGTAGCTCATTCTATAAGCCATCTATAATGCCTTAGAATGTAATCTAAAAACGCCTTTGCTTTTCCTGGTTCATGATGTGTCACCACTTAACACTGACTTTTCCTCCCTGTGTAGAAAGCATGTATCTACATCAAATCTAACCTTGATCCCAGCAATGTGGATTCCCTCTTCTACGCTGCCCAGGCCAGCCAGGCCCTCTCAGGATGTGAGGTGAGTCCAGGTTCCTCCGCTGACAATGACTTTAACTGCAAAGTGCATTTTTTTTTTTTTTTTTTTTTTTTTTTTAGACTGAGTCTTGCTGTCTCTCCAGGCTGGAGTGCAGTGGCGCAATCTCGGCTCACTGCAACCTCCGCCTCCTGGGTTCAAGTGATTCTTCTGCCACAGCCCCCTGAGTAGCTGAGACCACAGGCGCGTGCCACCACGCCCGGCTAGTTTTTGTAAAGTGCATTTTTAAAGGGGGAAGGGTCATGTCAAAAATCCTTTTTTTAACAAAGAGAGTTCATTGTTATGGGTGGGAATTCCATTCCTGTGATTTTTGAAAGTATAATTTATGTTTCTCCTAAGTTTTTACTTTTCAAGGGTTTTAGATAACCTTTTTGTGCAGTTTTTGCCTTTCTTCTGGGAGGTGTTGATTTTTTCCTTTCCATCTTCCTTTAACATTTAAAAATGTTCAAAGTGTACCCCTACACCAGGTTTCTGGAAAGTCATTTTATTGAACATAGGAGAAACATATAAGTAGAAAGGTAACTTGTCTGCATGTTTTCAAATGCGAGTGTTGTACTGAGGTTTTGCAAACATTTAATCCTGGTGTCTGGGGATTAGAGGGGGGTGAGCATGTGTGAGGCGGGTGTGACTTTGGCAGCTGCTCTGTGTGCTGTCTTTGCCATGCCTGCCACAAATTGCCAAGACCTGTTCTAAAACCCTGTGTCTGCCAATTCTTTTTTAGATTTCTATTTCAAATGAGACCAAAGACCTGCTTCTGGCAGCTGTCAGTGAGGACTCATCTGTTACCCAGATCTACCATGCAGTTGCTGCTCTCAGTGGCTTTGGCCTTCCCTTGGCATCCCAAGAAGCGCTCAGTGCCCTTACTGCTCGCCTCAGCAAGGAGGAGACTGTGCTGGCGTGAGTTGTCATCTTGAGCGCTTTGCAGGCCTCATGTGTCTCGGGCCCTATCCTAAGAGGGCCCGTTCATTGGTTCAGCAAATACTTTCTGGGCAAATACTTCCAGTAATTACTTCTGTGTACCAGGTGCTATGCGAGGCACCGCAAACACGATTGCAGGAAGGCAGGTAAGGTCCCTGTCCTCGTGGAGCTCACATGGACGCAGTCTTCTGCAAGCCTCGCAAAGAGGAGGCAAGTGCCAAGCCAGAGCGCGAGCACACCAACACCTAGAGATCCAGCTGCCCTCTGACGTTGGAAGGCTAGAGCAAGGGCAGGTAACTGAGAAGGAGCCACATGTGTGTCTTGTTGAGGCTTGGCCAGGGCAGGTTGACATGTTGGCAGTGGAGGCCCTGCAAAGTGGGGGCTCACAGGATTCCTGGAAGTTGTGAGAGGCAGCATCCAGTGGGAGAGGTGGAGGCTCAGGGTGGAGCATTCCAGGAATCAGACTCTACTACTCTGCAAAAGGCTTAGGTGAAGGAGAAGCACTTTTCCTGCTTCTTATAAATGGAAATATTGTAACTGACTTTAGGGTGTTTTTGCTAAGCTTTTAAGTGATAATATATGTAGTTTTAAATTTTTATTTATTTAGAGACAGGGTCTCACTCTGTCACCCAGGCTGAAGTGCAATGGTATGATCACAACTCAACTGCAGCCTTGAACTCTGTGCTCAGGTGATCCTCCTGCCTCAGCCTCCCAAGTAGCTGGAACTACAGATGCAAACTACCATGCCCAGCTAATTTTTTTTTTTGTTTTGAGACAGAGTCTTACTCTGTCACCGACACTAGAGTGCAGTGGCGCGATCTTGGCTCATTGCAGCCTCTGCTTCCTGGGTTCAAGCAATTCTCCTGCCTCAGTGTCAGTGGCTGGGATTACAGGCACACACCACCATGCCCAGCTAATTTTTTGTATTTTTAGTAGAGATGGGGTTTCACCATGTTGGCCAGGCTGGTCTTAAATTCCTGACCTCAAGTGATCCACCTGCCTCAGCTTCCCAAAGTGCTGGGATTACAGGCATGAGCCACTGTGCCTGGCTGCCTGGCTAATTTTTTTTACTTTTTAGTAGAGATGGGGTCTCTCTATGTTGCCCAGGCTAGTTTAATTTTTTTTTTAACACTTAAACTCCTCATTTAAAACAGTAATTTTTTTTTTAAATTTTTTTTTTTTACTGTTTTCTTTGTGTAGACTGTTTTAATTGCAAACCCTGAAAGAGGATGTGGAGTACATTTCTGGAATCCTGTTCATTAACAGGAGGTTGGTGATACCAATTCCCCCTTTCAAAACAGTGAGGTTATTTCCCAGTTTTTTGGTTTGTTTTGATAACAACCAGATTTTCTCTAAGCTTAAAGCTTTGTTAAGGGCAGGTCACAGGCAGTTGCTGTTCCCTCTCTGTCATCCTCACGCCCTCATCATATTCACATGGTCAGTCATCAGTGACTCTGGGGCTGACATTTTGTACACACTTTGCCCAGTGCTTGGCCCTTTTGGGGCTTCGATTTCAGGAGGTATTTTGATCTTTGCTCATAATCCCTCATGGGGAATGCTTCTCCAGTCGCCATCATCTCATGCCATGATGTCACTGTTAGTGCCTGTGCCTTACTTTGGTGCTGCCTTCTACAAAAAACTTCCCATTTCCCTCCAAGCAAAAAGGAAAGTCTCTTTCCTCAAAATCTCAGAACCCCAGGAAGAAGTACAAAGGAAGTACGTCCACTTCGGAGTCAGGCAGACTTAGGTTTGAACACCAGCTATTTCCTTCCTTGCTGTGTGACTCTGGCCAAATTTCTAACTTCTCTGAGCCTCCCCTATAAAATGAAACCCATAATTCTTACATCAGAGCAACTGACAGGATTCAGTGGGATAATAGATGTGAAGACCCTAGCGCAATGCCTGGTTCTTACTGGGCATGTAGGAAATGGAGTTCCTTTTCTGCACCATCTGTTTGTTAGGTCTCTTTCTTAGAGCATTTGTTACCTCCTTCATTGTTGTTATTTCTATTAGATCATAAGCTTTTTTTTTTTTTTTTTTTGGACACAGGGTCTCACTCTGTCATCTAGGCTTCTGCGCAATGCGATCATATTTAAGGCTCACTATAGCCTCAAACTCCTGGGCTTGAGCAGTCCTCCCACCTCAGCCTCCTGAGGAGCTGAGACTGTAGTCACTGTATGCCACCACACCCAGCCATAAGCTTTATTTTTAGTGCTTACAGAGCCTGGCGCATGGTCTGTACCCAGTGGAGTTAATAAAGGATGAAACTATACTTTTGTGTTTCTGCTGTCTTGTGGAAAGCCTGTAGTTAGAAAGAGCATATGCTTTGGAGCAGAAAGAACTATGTTCAAATCCACTCTTCTACTCAGCCTCTGTGACCCTGAGTGGATTGTTTAGCTCCCCTAAACCTCAGTGTTTTCAAATGCAGACCTGGAGAATGTCTCGTAGGGTCATTGTGAAATCCAATGGGTAAGATGCCTTATATAATATTACTACTAACGTGCCCTGTTAAAGGCAATCTGATGTAAATTAGAACTCTTCTGAGTGGGCCTTCCATATTTAAATGGACTTATTCTAGGAAGTATATATTCGTAAACTTGTCTTTAATGGAAAAAAGAAAATATTTGTAGGTTTGAATGAACCATCTGAGAAGATGTCATTTGTAGTCTCTCATAAATCAATTTCTCTGAATCATCTGCTGTATATTAGTAAGATAAGATCTGCTTTCTTACTGTTTGAATATAGTACTGTACTCCAGAGAAAAAGAAATTGCTGGCTGGGGAATAAGTAATTAAAGCCAGTGACAAAACTTTCTAAAAATTCAGTGGATTAATTTCATTCTAAAATTTCTGAGGTTGTTAGCAGCATGGCACTCACTCATTCCAAAGAGAAAAAAATGTTATCTTAATTGAGAAGTTCTTTCTGGGCTGTCTTAACTGCCTTTTCTGAGCTCAGTGTTTATCATGGGCAGATGTATGATTTTCATCTCCTTTGGAAATTCAGGTTTCATTTTCTCAAGTGTATTATAACAACAAGCATCCCATAGGTGTCGTTGAGTACTCTGGGGCTTGTCTCTCTGTAAATTGTGACTCTGCTGTTTTCCAGCTTGTCATCTTAATGGAGTTAGTTTCCCATGGAGAGAATCTAAATTGTTATGATCTTCACATAAGCAGACAGATTCTTGCTCTACATTCCCTGACACATTGACTTGATAAGTGGTGGTTTTACACAAGGGCCCAGTCATCTCTTAGGAATTAGGAAACCATTCGCCGTGGAAGCAGCAGTCCGTTTAACCACCAGGGGGCCTCTGCTTTCCCCATTTCACTCAGAGAAGCACCGTTTATATTTTCTAAATTATCTGCCTTAAGAGAATAGAATCTAATAAATCTTACATGTACACACCTATCATATTCCGTCTTAAAAAGTGTATCTTCCAGAATTACAGATAAAAATATATGAATAAGCCAAAAAAAGAATGAAGTACGGATACATGCTACAGCATGGCTGAGCCTTCTTATGCTGAGCAAAAGAAGCCAGACCTAAAAGGACACAGATGTATGATTCCATTTCTGTGAAGTATCAGAATAGGCAAATCCATAGAGATAGAACATAGATTGCTGGTTGCTGGGGGGTAACGGGGGACACAGTGGGGAGAAACTGCTCAGTGGGTTTTATCTATCTGTCTTATCTATGTACCTTTTTTTTTTTGAGACGGAGTCTTACTCTGTCACCAGCTGGGAGTGCAGTGACACTATCTTGGCTCACTACATCCTCTGCCTCCCAGATTCAAGCGATTCTCCTGCCTCAGCCTCCTGAGTACCTTGGTTTATAGGCGCGTACCACCATTCCTGGCTAATTTTTGTATTTTGGTAGAGACAGGGTTTCACCATATTGGCTAGGCTGGTCTCAAACTCCTGAACTTGTGATCCGCCTGCCTTGGCTTCCCAAACTGTTGGGAAAGCCACCACACCCAGCCTTATTTATCTGTTTTTTGACACAGGGTCTCACTCCGTCACCTAGGCTGAGTACAGTGGTACAATCACAGCTCATTGAAGCCTCGACCTCCCAGCTCAAGTGATCCTCCTCCCTTAGCCTCTCGAGCACCTGGGACTATAGGCATGTGCCACCATGCCCAGCTAATTTTTAAATTTTTTGTAAAGATGAGGTCTCACTATATATTGCCCAGACTGGTTTCGAACCCCCAGGCTTAAGTGATCCTCCTGCCTTGGCCTCCCGAAGAATTGGGATTACAAGTGTCAGCCACCATGCTCAACAAATGGGTTTTATTTTAGACTGGTGGAAATATTTGGGAACTAGACAATTGGTGGTTGCATGGCTTTGTGAATGTAGTAAGCACCCCTGAATTGTCCACTTTAAAATGGTTAATTTTATGTGAATTTTGCTTCAATTTTTTTTTTTTTTTCTGGGACCTGGAGTACAGTGGCTCACCGCAACATCTACAACCTGGGCTCAAGCAATCCTCCTACCTCAGCCTCCTGAGTAGCTGGGACTACAAGCACATGCCACCATACCTGGCGGATTTTTAGTAGAGATGAGGTTTCATCATGTTGCCCAGGCTGGTCTTGAACTCCTGGACTCAAGGGATTTGCCTGCCTCAGACTCCCAAAGGGCTGAGATTACAGATGTGAGCCACTGCACCCAGCCCAGTGCCCATGGTTTTCATTGCCAGTTCTATTGCCTGGGTTGCCTTCTCAGCTGTGATGGTCTTTTCCAGGTTTTGTCATACCTCTCCTAACTGGATTATAAGTAAACTCCTTGAAGGCTAAGACCAACTTGTACTTCTAAAGAACAAGAGTGGGATATTTGTGAAGGTGTCCAAATATGAGAAGGGGTGAGTTGATGAAAGATGAAAGGAGACTTGCCATTCATCGGGTTTCTACTCTTTACCTTCCAGAACGGTCCAGGCTCTGCAGACAGCATCCCACCTGTCCCAGCAGGCTGACCTGAGGAGCATCGTGGAGGAGATTGAGGTATGAATCTTTTGCCAAATGGATCTCCCAGCTCATATCTTTGACACCCTGCAGAAGAGTCTTGCAGGTAGCCATGCAAGATCTGTTATGGCCAGTTACATTGCTTCTTATATCCATGGCACACTTGTGTTCTTTGTGTTAGGGTACTGTGTCCTGAGGAATATTTGTGTCTTTTACATAACAGGTGCTCAGGAAGTGGTGACTGGTTTTTATTATTGCTCTATCCTTGCCTTGGCCCAGAATATCATACTCCTCCGGGGCCTCGCTCATGGACTGCCTGGCCAGGGTAACAAGCAGTCCTGATGGTGTTCTCACTGCGTGCCTCACAGGCACGTTAGCTGCATAGTCATGTTGCCTAGGAGAGCAGTTTTTCTCTCTTTGTTTTTTGGAGCATTGAGTAAGAAATTCTAGGAAATGCCATGCTTTGTAGGTGGTATTGAAATGAATGGCCATGGACTCTATCTGTGTCATGTTGCTTCCTGGGTGCACGGCAGACTGGCCCACTGGCCTTCCACCCAGAGCAGCTGGTGCCTTCCCTGCCATGACTCCTGGGCTTGGGCTTGTGTGCAAGGGGCCAGGGAAGGAGCCCTCCCAGAACTGCAGAAGCTACTCTTCTCCTCAAATGTCTATTTGATATACTTTGCTCTGCCTGAGCACCATTTTTGAGAAAGTGTTAAGTGACTGAGATGGTCTTCAGATTTAGAGTGAGAGATGACATGAAGCTGTCTGCAGTGGGGTTCATGTGCTTTGTGCATCTCATTTCTGCTGTTACTTGACATCCAACGTGTTACTGTTTTGTTATGGCAGGACCTTGTTGCTCGCCTGGATGAACTGGGGGGCGTGTACCTCCAGTTTGAAGAAGGACTGGAAACAACAGCATTATTTGTAGCTGCCACCTACAAGCTCATGGATCATGTGGGGACCGAGCCATCCATTAAGGAGGTACCCGTCTAACAGTTTTCGGGCATGAAACCCAAAGGGGTCATCGATTTTATCTGCTAAGGATAGCTTTTATCAGAGAGGGATGTGCAGACAGTACCTTGGAATGCTGTCACTCAGTGTCTTGGGTTAGGCATTAAGAATGAGAAATACAGCCGGGCACGGTGGCTCATGCTTGTAATCCTAGCACTTTGGGAGGCTGAGGCGGGCGGATCCCGAGGTCGGGTTCGAGACCAGCCTGACCAACATGATGAAACCCCATCACTACTTAAAAATATAAAAATTAGCCAGGCGTGGGTGGCACACACCTGTAATCTCAGCTATGTGGGAGTCTGAGGCAGGAGAATTGCTTGAACCCAGGAGGTGGAGGTTGCGGTGAGCCGAGAGTGCACCATTGCACTCCAGCCTGGGCTACAGAGCGAGTCTCCGTCTCAAAAAAAAAAGAATGAGAAATGGAAAGATGTAATGCCTGTCTTCAAGAAATGGGTTGCTAATGAGACAGATGTGTAAACAAACCACACTTGCCTTAAATGGGGTGTGTACATGTCATGAGGTAGTGTCAAGAAAGCCACATGTATTACTCCTGTTTTATCTCCTTTTCTTCCCAATACCCCTTTCTGCTTGTCTCTTGAATGCTTTCCACTCTGGTGGCCCATTCAAATCCTTCTCGGGGCTCAAAATTGCTTCTCCCCCCTTCCCCCTTATCCTCAGCAACAGTGAAATCTTAGCTAATCTTTGCTGATGGACATAGTTCAGGGAGAGGCATGTGTGTCTATCACACATCTGCCAAGAGTTAATTCTTTTTTTCAAGAGGAAGTTGTTAACCTAAAAGAACCTTTAGTTGAAATGTGTGTGGGAAGTCTTTTTGAGTAGGACCGTCTTTGTACCCTGTGTCTGTGAGAAGTTACCAGCTCTTAATCTAAAGTACTGAAAATACAAGCTGCTATTATTTAAATTTTAGGAGGAGAGATTTGAGTTAGAACTTTTATTTCTTTATGCATTACAAGTTTTATACCAAGTTTCTTTAAGTAGTTATCTGTCTTGGATAATTGGAATTAATTTCATATTTTCTCCAGAGGATATGGTCAAATAAGTTATTCGTGTGTTTGCATTCTTTTTGTGTCCCTTCCTTTGTCCTAAGTGTAGGAGGTCTAGAAATATACTCCCTTTGGGGAGCATCACACACTGGGGTCTGTAGGGGGGAAATAGGGGAGGGACAGCGGGGGGTGGGGAGTTGGGGAGAGTTAGCATGGGGAGAAATGCCAGATATAGGTGATGGGGAGGAAGGCAGCACATCACACTGCCATGTGTGTACCTGTGCAACAATCTTGCATGTTCTTCACATGTACCCCAAAACCTAAAATGCAATTAAAAAAAAATTGAAAAAAAAAAAAAAAAAAAAAAAAAGAAATATACTCCCTTTTAATTTCTGTTACGGGTGAGAGCGCAGGAGTGTGAATCTTATGGTACAGATTACAGATTGTCCTATACACAGTAAAGTAGATGAATTGCTGATTTGTACATATACAACTTTAGCAGCAGCTTGAAAATAAAGAAAGAAAATGTTTAAGTTTTCTTAAACCAGGTACTTGGCTGGAGTAATTTTGCTGTTACTGCTTTTGACACATTTGTGGTGAACAGTTACCCATTTTAACATGTCAACAGCCTAGTAATGGAAAATTGTAATTGGTCCAATTAAAGAAAATTCTTTCATGTTGACTGTGAATAACACTGTCAGGAACAAGAGAGCTCTTTTGTTGGACGTTAGATTTTAAAAAACAAAACTGATCGAAGGGGAAAATGTTTCCTCCTAGGAAAACAGCCTCTAGAATTTTAATAATGCCTTTTAGGTTCCACTTTTTTTAAAAAAATTGCTTTCAGTTTTCTCCTCTAAGCACCCCATTAGTTTTTCATGGAGAGTTATTTTAGTTTCCTTTTAATGTACATTTTAGCTATAAAGTTTGGTCTTATAAATAAAAACTCAGCCTCAGTGTACTACTTGCAGGCGGGTTGGGAGGAAAGGTTGCTTGGCTGGGAGGATGATGGGAGTCCGAAGAGAGCAGATTTTCTTGTAGAAGGACTTTGGAGACAAACAGTCCTACATTTGAGTGCTAGTCTTGCTAATGTTGTTGTGACTTGTAGAAGTTACTTAGCCTCCTTTAGCCTCAGTTTTGTTTTTTGGGAAACATTGGTAATACCAGTCTTTTATAAGTTTTTGTCAAAATTTGAGTTAATGCATGTAAAGCACCTATCATGATGCCTGGTGTATATAGACATTTAGCAAGTAATTATTATTATATGTATTTTGTATTTTGTAATATCTCAATAGTTATCTAGAAGTACCCTGCATTTGTGTAGTAAGTGTTATTATTTTTATTTTGAGACAGTCTCACTCTGTCGCCAGGCTGGAGTGCAGTGGCATGATCTCAGCTCACTGCAACCTCTGCCTCCTGGGTTCAAGTGATTCTTGAACATGATCTGTCCTCCTCGGCCTCCCAAAGTGCTGGGATTACAGGTGTTAGCCACCGTACCCTGACTGTTACGATTTTTTTTTTTTTTTGAGGCAGAGTCTTGCTCTGTCGCCAGGCTGCAGTGTAGCGGTGCAATCTCCGCTCACTGCAACCTCTGCCTCCCGGATTCAAGCAGTTCTTGTGCCTCAGCCTCCTAAGTAGCTGGGATTACAGGCACATGCTACCATGCCTGGCTGATTTTTGTATTTTTAGTAGAGATGGAGTTTTTCACTATGTTGGCTAGGCTGGTCTTGAACTCCTGACCTCGAGTGATCCACCCACCTTGGCCTCCCATAGTCCTGGGATTACAGGCGTGAGCCACCACACCCAGCCTGTGTAGTAAGCACTTATTAAATAACTGACAAATCATGAATTTCAGTTTATAATGGAAAATGGATAAAAACAACCAAGTCCAAGTTCTAAGTGTAAATGGAGAATATTTGCGTTTTCTCCATCTGTAAATTTGGATCAGTGGCTGAAAGACCTCCATGTAAACGCCTGAAACAGACAGGGAGTGACTTTCATCTACAGCAGTGTCCCTCCTGCCTTCCGAGTGGAGGAAGATAAGCAGCTGCATTTCGCTTTGCTTTCAGGATCAGGTCATCCAGCTGATGAACGCAATCTTCAGCAAGAAGAACTTCGAGTCCCTCTCTGAAGCCTTCAGTGTGGCCTCTGCAGCTGCTGTGCTCTCCCATAATCGCTACCACGTGCCAGTTGTGGTTGTGCCTGAGGGCTCTGCTTCTGACACTCACGAACAGGCTATCCTGCAGGTATGACTTCCATGCCCAAAGTGTGCCCCTCTGATTGTCATTCCTAGTGGAGGGCTTTGAGGAATCTGGACCATGGTCCATTTTGTTGCTCTTGTTTGGGAACCAGCAATAAGCTAAGATCTTCATGAGAAATTAGCATTTTATTTATGTCTAAGTGTTGGGTTTCCACTTAGGACAGTCCTGTCTGTCCCATTAGTTCGACTTTGGTGTCCCCTGTAGATACCCTCCTGAGCGAGTACTCTGTTTTTCAAAATTGCCTATTTTCTGCCTACATATACAACTTGTATACCCTCAACAAAGAGGTAGAAAGTAATGTGATTAACATTGTTTGCTGTGAGTTAAGAGGGGCTAAGAGAACAAAGTGAAAAAGGAATTGACTCTGAAGCTAAATAGATGGTTTGAGTCCTGGCTCAACCACTTAACTGGCCATGTGGGCTGTGTCGGTTCCTTTACCTCTTGTGGCTTGTTTCTTCATCTGTGAAATAAGAATTATTCTGTCTGTCTCATACAATTGATAGGGAATATCAGTAAGGGGCTCAACCTAATAAGTGCATATAGTTGACTTTCAACAGGTGATAGTTATTAATGCTATCCATACTTCTTCTATTTTCCCATTGCTGATACCATCCTAAAGTATTTTTCTGGCTTATTTATTTATTTATTTATTTATTGTAGAGACAGGGTCTCACCGTGTTGCCCAGGGTGGTCCCAAACTCCTGGCTTTAACGATCCTCCCATCTCAGCCTCCCAAAGTACTGTAACTACAGGCATGAGCCACTGCACCCAGCCTGGCTGAGAATTTTTTCTTTTTCTTTTTCAGAGACTGGGTCTCCCTATGTTGCCTGGGCTGGAGAATAGTGGCGCAGTCATAGCTCATGCTAACTCTTGGGCTCAAGCAATCCTCCTGCCTCAACCTCCTGAATATCTGGGACTACAAGCACATGCCACTATGCCCAGCTAATTTTTTAATTTAAAAAAAGTGTTATCTTTTTGATAGAAATGGGGTCTTGCCATGTTGACCACACTGGTCTTGAATTCCTGGCCTCAGGTGATCCTCCTGTCTCAGCCTCCCAAAGCACTGCAATTGCAGGCATGAGCTACCATGCCCAGTCCGATAAATTCTCTTAAAGGTTCTGTAGTAGAGTAGATAGAATAGGGAATCAGAAAGAAGGAAATATATTGGCCAGGTGCAGTGACTCATGGCTGTAATAATCCACTTTAGGATTAGGCAACAGACCGAAAGTCAGCGAAGATTTCCCCAATGCAGGGCCTTTGCTTTCCTGCACCCTATAGATGAAGCGTCCCAGAAACAAAATTCTCTACTCCTGCAGCCTTTGTTGTAACAAATAATGTTTTTTTTAAATTTCCAGTTGCAAGTCACCAATGTTCTGTCTCAGCCTCTGACTCAGGCCTCTGTTAAACTAGAACATGCTAAATCTGTTGCTTCCAGAGCCACTGTCCTCCAGAAGACATCCTTCACCCCTGTAGGGTAAGTCCTGATCATATTTTGGCAGAGCGCTGACCTCTTTATTTGGGAAGTTAGCCTGCAGCCACTGTAACAGATTAATGTGGATGTACCATGATCATAAAACCAAATTTGCCTAAGTTCCAGTTAGGTAAATTTGATCTACTGGTATCAAAAGCCTATAGTGGAATATAAGAAAATGATTTTTAAAATGAAGATCATTTTGGTTTTACTGTTTTATTCTTTATTTCTAGTTGGCTCTGTCTTATCATTGTGACATAAGTAGCTTTTTTTTTTTTTTTTTTTTGAGATGGAGTTTCACTCTTGTTACCCAGGCTGGAGTGCAATGGCGCGATCTCGGCTCACCGCAACCTCCGCCTCCTGGGTTCAGGCAGTTCTCCTGCCTCAGCCTCCTGAGTAGCTGGGATTACAGGCACGCGCCACCATGCCCAGCTAATTTTTTGTATTTTTAGTAGAGATGGGGTTTCACCATGTTGACCAGGATGGTCTTGATCTCTTGACCTCGTGATCCATCCGCCTCGGCCTCCCAAAGTGCTGGGATTACAGGCTTGAGCCACCGCGCCCGGCCTTTTTTTTTTTTTTTTTTTTTTTTCTGACACAGAGTCTTGCCCTTGTTGCCCAGGCTGCAGTGCAATGGCATGAACTCGGCTCACTGCAGCCTCCACCTCCTGGGTTCAAGCGATTCTCCTGCCTCAAGCTATTTATCTGAGTAGCTGGGATTATAGGCACCCGCCATCATGCCTGGCTAATTTTTGTATTTTTAGTAGAGATGGGGTTTCGCCATGTTGGCCAGGCTGGTCTTGAACTCCTGACCTCGTGATCCACCCGCCTTGGCCCCCCAAAGTGCTGGGAGTACAGGCATGAGCCACTGTACCTGGCCTATAAGTAGCTATTTTAAAATTTAATATTTATTGATTTTTTTTTCTGTTAAATAATAATGTTTATTATAGGAAAATACAGAAAAGCACAAAAAAGGAAATATAACTCACCCATAATTCTATTATTTCTTCTCTTTAGAGAAACTTTTGCTAACATTTTTATTTATTTTTTTTTGAGACAGAGTTTCACTCTTGTTGCCTAGGCTGGAGTGCAATGGTGCAATCTCAGCTCATTCTAATCTCCACCTCCTGGATTCAAGCAATTCTTCTGCCTCAGCCTCCTGAATAGCTGGGATCACAGGCATCCACCATCACATCTGGCTAATTTTTTGTATTTTTAGTAGTGACAGGGTTTCACCATGTTGGCCAGGCTGGTTTTGAACTCCTGACTTCAGGTGATCCTCCTGCCTCAGCCTCCCAGAGTGCTGGGATTGACCCACCGTGCCCTGCCTTGCTAACATTTTATAATTTTTTTTTGACAGTCTTTTTTCTGTGTATGTAAATAAATTTTAAAAATTCAGTTAAGGGCTAGGCATGGGGTTCACACCTATAACCCCAGCACTTTGGGAGACTGAGGTAGGTGGATTGCCCGAGCCCAGGATTTTGAGAGCAGCCTGGACAATAGCAAGACCCATCTCTAATTTTTATATATGTATGTATGTATGTATGAATGATGGGAGTCTAGCTCTGTCACCTAGACTGGAGTGCAGTGGTGCGACCTCGGCTTACTGCAACCTTTGCCTCCTGGGTTCAAGCGATTCTCCTACCTCAGCCTCCCGAGTAGCTGGGACTACAGGCATATGCCACCACGCCTGGCTAAGTTTTGTATTTTTGGTAGAGGCAGGGTTTCACTGTGTTGACCAGGCTGGTCATGAACTCCTGACCTCAAGTGATCCACCTGCCTCAGCCTCCCAAAGTTCTGGGATTACAGGTGTGAACCACAATGCCCAGCCTCCATCTCTGATTTTTTAAAAAATTAAAAAAAAAATTAGGATATGCTTTATATGTAACAGTGTGCCACAGACACTTTTCTACAGGATTAAATATTCTTTTACAATGATTTTTTTGTTTGTTTTGTGTTTTTGAGACGGAGTTTTGCTCTTGTTGCCAGGCTGGAGTGCAATGGCATGATCTTGGCTCACTGAAACCTCCACCTCCTGGGTTCAAGTGATTCTCCTGCCTCTGCCTCCTGAGTAGCTGGGATTACAGGCTCTGACCTCAAGTGAGCCTTGCATCTTAGCCTCCCAACATGCTGGGATTACAGGCATGAGCCACCACACCTGGTCTTTACAATGATTTTTAATGGCTGCATATTATTGCTGTGTAATTTTTTAAAAAAATTAAGGGCCAAATGTACTGGGTATGGTGGCTCACCTATAGTTCCAGCTACTTGGGAGGCTGAGGTAGGAGGATAACTTGAGGTTGGGAGGTCTAGGTTATAGTAAGCCATGATCATACCATATCACTCCAAGCCTGGGTGACAGAGGGAGACTCTGTCTCAAAAAAAAAATAATAATAATTAATTAATTAAAGATCAAGCTGGGCACAGTAGCAGGTACTTTGTAGTTCCAGCTACTTGGAGGCTGAGGCAGGAAGATCATTTGAATCGAGGAGTTTAAGACCAGTCTGGGCAACATAGTAAGACCTGTCTCTAAAAGAAAAAAAATAAGGGTCAATTTTTATATGAATTAGTGTTTTTCCCAGCTAATTGTATGGAACTTTTTTTTTTTTTTTTTTAAGTAGGGACGGGGTTTCACCATGTTGGCAAGGCAGGTTTCGAACTGCGGACCTCAAGTAACCTGCCTGCCTCTACCTCCCAGAGTGCTGGAATTATAGGTGTGAGCCACTGGGCCTGTATGGAACTTTTAGAAGTGTTAAATTATTAAGTTACTGAGATCAGGAGTTTTCAATTTTAGAGAGAAAATGCATTTCTTAGTCAGGCAATATGTGAAATTAAAAAGCAAAATCACTTTTAGAAGTACCAGTGGAGCGGTAAAAGATACTGAGATTTTGCGATAGAGTTAGGAACTCTCTACTTTTTTTTCCCCTTTAAAATAAAAATAAATATTTTTAAATAAAAGTAAGATATGTCCTTTTTGAGAAATTCAGAAAACACAGAAAGGTAAAAATCATACCAAAAAATTAGCCCCAATTATACTATCCTACACCAACCTCTTTGTACATTTTGGAGTATTTTCTTCTACATTTTTGTCGTTGTCACCGTGAAACATCATCAGGATCATACTGTAAACTTCCCAATTTTACATTACATTGTGGAAAGCTACCAGAAGGAGTTTGAATTTTAGGAGCGTGGGAGTAACAAAGGAAAAGGAAAAGAAAACGTTGGAAACCTGGGAGTGTTCATTTTAGATAGTTTTCTCCACATTGTAGTATATGATTAAGTTCGAGGGTTGGACATGGTGGCTCATGCCCCAGCCTGCACTTTGGGAGGCTGAGCGGGTGGATCACTTGCTCTCAGAACGCCGTCTCTACAAAATTTTTCTAGGCGTGGTGGTGCATGCCTCCCGTCCCAACTACTGGGGAGGCTGAGTTGGGATGATGAGTTGAACCTAGGAGTTTGAGGCTGTGGTGAGCTGTGATTGTACTGTACTCCAGCCTGGGCAACAGAGTGAGAACCTGTGTCAAAATAAAATAAAAGGCACAAGATTGTCCAAGTGGGGTAGGAAGTCAAAAAGGGAAGGAGTGGGCTAGCCTTGGACAGTCTCTAGGAGACATTTTGTAGTTCCTGTTTGTTATATCTGTGACTTTCTTACCTGAGTTCTTGTAAGCCTGTTGTCATTCTTTACAGGGATGTTTTTGAACTAAACTTCATGAACGTCAAATTTTCCAGTGGTTATTATGACTTCCTTGTCAAAGTTGAAGGTGACAACCGTTACATTGCAAATACTGTAGAGGTAGGTGTTTTCCTTCCCATTGCCATGTTAATGTATCCAAGGAAATGGCCAAATTGATACACAGTGTTGTCTGGTACCTTGACTTCTTTACAACCAAGGCTCCATTCAATCTTTGCTATTTGACAGACATAGCCAAGGCAGTAGTAAATCAAGAACTTGGTCATAGTGAATTTTCTTTTATTTGTAAGTTTTTCATTTTCCATTATAATTTAGCATTGCTAACTTACATGAAATTTAGGTGGTAGAAAAAGAAAATCACCCATAATTCCACTGAGGTTTAACATCTTAAAAAAGTGTTCTGTGTGGTAGGCTTTGGTGGGTTTAGAAAAGTGCATGATGCCAAATAGGCAGCAAAAAGCTTCAGGTTACACATATATAACACCTATAATGAAGCTATTTGGGTAAAGGATAAAAAAAATTGGTCATCTTTCATAATGGACTGTTTCAGATGTTTAGCTAATGCTAGCTGGGCGAAGATCCATGTATCTTTAAAAATAGAAAGCCCTATTTACCTGATGCTTTGTGGGAGTGAGGTAGTTCCCATTAGTATTTTTCCCAGCTAATTGAAATTTACCCCGTCCAGCACCGTGGCTCCCATTTTAGCCATTTTAGAGAAGTTTATTTAAGATGAGCTACATATTTTCCTACTTTCTTATTTCCAATTTAAGATAGTTTCTTTGTCTTTCATGACCTTGACACATGAAGAGGACTGGCTCTCAAATTGTAGAATGTCTCTCAGATTGGGTTTTTCTGGTATTTCTTCATGATCAGATTCAGGTCATGCATTTTCTGCAATTCTATCCCAAAAGTAATGCTCTGTCCTACTCAGAGCAAGAAGTATATGATATTGGTATGTCTCATTACGGGTCACGTTAACCTTGGTCACTTGAGTAAGGTGATTGTGTGCTAGGTTTTCTGCTGTAAAGTTATTGTTTTTCTGCTTGTATTTACATGTCTAGTTGGGCAATGCTTTGAGACTCTAAGTATCATAATGGTCTTGTCTGCAATAGTTATTACTCTGGTGTTTGCCAGAGAGTGATTTTCTCTTTCATTTCTTGTACATTTTTAAAATTGGAATTCTACTGTAAGAAAACAACTGTCTTTTATCCTGTTTATTCAATTATTTATAACTGCAATAAATCTTTATCATAACGTGTTTATAACATATCTATAATTCATATGTTTACAGTAATTGCATCATAGATATTTATTTTACTGTATGCATTGTGATCTATGACTGTCATTTATCTTGTTGCTCATGTTGTCCTAGGTTTTGGCCTTTGGAGAGCTCCTCAGGTTGGCTCCTGTGACACTTGCTTTCTTTTAATGACAGAAGTAGACAGCTTGAAAGTTTGACCTTTTCAAAAGTGGGACATTACTTTCCATAGGGAGATTAAACACTTGTATTTAAAGTTTGACAGAAAGGAAGATGTTTTCTGGAACTCAAATCTCTCTACCTCATGTGTGACCTTTTGAGCATGAGACATCTGATCCTCGTCCATTCAGTAAAACAAAATTTGGATAGAAGCTATTGTAGCGTGTACCTTGATTCTTCCAAATCCACATTCTTTTAATGTTAGTTTCCTTCGTTAAGATGACTTACTTGCAACTGAAAATATTAAAAGGAAAGCTCTTTCTCTTTTTTTCCTTTTTTTTTTTTTTCTTGAAACCTCCTTCCCTCTACTGCCAGCCATCTTAAATGCCAGGCTTATTATCTCACAGTTGTTCTTAACCCCTTCCTTTCTTTTCACTTCTGCCTCCTAGTCAGTTACCAAGTCCTATTGAGTCCACCTCTGATTGTATTTTCCATGAGTTTTTGTTGCTATAATCGCCAAATTGCTGTTTTCTCCATATTTTTACCAATATTTGGTATTTTCAGGTTTGGTAGTCTGATGCATATGAAAAGGTATCTTGTTGTTTTAATGTCTTTCCTTGGTTGCTGGTAAGGTTGAACATCTTTTTTTGTATTTAGTAGCCAATTAGGTTTCCTTTCTTGTGAATTGTTTTATATCTTTGCCTGATTTTCTTTTGGTTTCTTAGTCTATTGATTTTTAGGAGTGCTATATATTTGTGAGCATTAGATATCTTCCCCTAGAATTGCTTTATGGCATCTTTTGATGCACAAAATTTAATTTTAATGAAGCCTAATTTAAAAGTCTTCCTAGGTCCAGGTACAGTGACTCACGCCTGCAATCCCAACACTTTGGGAGGCCAAGGCAGGCAGATCACTTGAGGCCAGGAGTTCAAGAACAACCTGGCCAATATGGCAAAACCCAGTCTCTACTAAAAATACAAAAATTAGCTGGGCATGGTGACCTGCATCTGTAATCCTAGCTACTCCGGAGGCTGATGCAGGAGAATCACTTGAACCTGGGAGGCGGAGGTTGCCGTGAGTCAAGATCGTGCCACTGCACTCCATCCTGGGCAACAGAGTGAGATTCTGTCTCAAAAAATGAATAAATAAAGTATTTTGCTAGATTGTGTTTTTTGTATCTTCTTTACAATAATCCTTTGCTACGCCAAAGTCAAAAAGATACTGTTGAGTGTTTTCTCTTTTTCTTTTTTTTTTTTTTTAACCCCCTGAGACAGAGTTTTGCTCTTATTGCCCAGGCTGGATTGCAATGGTGCGATCTTGGCTCACTGCAACCTCCACCTCCTGGGTTCAAGTGATTCTCCTGCCTCAGTTTCCAGAGTAGCTGGGATTACAGGCATGCGCCACCACACTGGGCTGATTTTGTTATTTTTAGTAGAGACGAGTTTCTCTGTGTTGGTCAGGCTGGTCTTGAACTCCTGACCTCAGGTGATCTGCCTGCCTTCACCTCTCAAAGTGCTGAGATTACAGGTGTGAGCCACTGCACCCGGCCTCTTGTTATTTATTATTATTGTTATTATTATTATTTTTGAGACAGAGTCTCCCTCTTGTCACTCAGGCTGGCATATAGTGTCATAATCTTGGCTCACTGCAACCTCTGCCTCCCTGGTTCAAGCGATTCTCATGCCTCAGTCTCCCAAGCAGCTGGGACTACAGGTGCATGCCACCACTCCCAGCTAATTTTTGCATTATTAGTAGAGACAGCGTTTTGCCATGTTGGCCAAGCTGGTCTCAAACTCTTGGCCTCAAATGTCCCACGCACCTCGGCCTCCCAAAATGTTGGGATTACAGGCATGAGCCACTGCACCTGGTCCTCCAGTGTTTTCTGAACACTTTTTAAAGTTGTTTTCCTCCTTATATTTAGGGCTTCAGTCTATTTGAAGTCCTTTTTTGTTGCTGTAGTATTTTACACCCTAAGATTATACTTACTGCATTATATTACCATTGTTTGTTTATATGCATTGCTTTCTTTTTCTTTTTTTTATTTTTTGAGACAGGGTCTCTATTCTGTCACCCAGGCTGGAGCGCAGTGGCACAATCACAGCTCACTACAGCCTTGATCTCCTGGGCTCAGGTGATCCTCTTACCTTAGCCTTCCAGGTAGCTGGGACTACAGGCATGCACTACCATGCCCAGCTAATTTTTTGTATTTTTTTCTAGAGACTGGTTTTGCCATGTTGCCCAGGCTGCTCTTGAACTCCTGGGCTCAAGTGATCTGTCACCTTTGCCTCCCAAAGTGCTAGGATTACAGGCGTGAACCACCACCTGCATTGATTTTTCACTGGGCTGAGAATGCCTATGGGTGGAGACTAAATCTTATTTTTTCAGTGCTTGGTTTCCATCTACACCACTTAGAGGAAGAAAAGGGGTGAGACTTTGCCTTTTTTTTTTTTTTTTTTTTTTTGAGATGGAGTCTTGCTCTGTTGCCCAGGCTAGAGTGCGGTGGCATGATCTTGGCTCACTGCAACCTCTGCCTCCCGGGTTCAAGTGATTCTCCTGCCTCAGCCTCCTGAGTAGCTGGATTACAGGCATGTGCCCCACCATGCCAGGCTAATTTTTTTTTTTTTTTGTATTTTTAGTAGAGATGGGGTTTCACCCTGTTGGCCAGGCTGGTCTTGAACTCCTAATCTCAGGTGATATGCCCATCTTGGCCTCCCAAAGTGCTGGGATTACAGGCGTGAGGCACTGTGCCCAGCTGAGACTTAGCTTTTATTTATTGATTTAATAACAGCTTTATTGAGGTATAATTCTCATACCATAAAATTTACCAATTAAAAGTTCAGGCTGGGCATGAGCCACCATGCTTGTAATCCCAGCACTTTGGGAGGCCGAGATGGGAGGATCACTTGAGCCCAGCAGTTAGAGACCAGCTTGGGCAACACAAGGAGATCCCGTCTCTACCAAAAATTTAACAATAAATTAGCTGGGTATGGTGGTGTGTACCTGTAGTCCCAGCTACCTGAGAGGCTGAGGCAAGAGGATTTCTTGAGCCTGGGAGTTTGAGGCTGCAGTGAACTGTGATCACACCACTGCACCCTAGCCCGGGCTGTTGCCAGCTGACACCTTGTCTCGAAAAAGCAAAACAAAACTATGCAATCCAGTGTCTTTAGTATATTCACAGACTTGTGCAACCCTTACTGCAAGGCCATTCCAGAATATTTTTATCACCCTGGAAAGCAATGCTGTATCTTTTAGCAGTCACTCCCCATTCTCTCCTACTTTCTACTTTTCGTCTCTATGGTTTGCCTATTTGGGACATTTTGTATAAATGGAGTCATATTGTATGTTACCTTTTGTGACTGGCTTTTCTGTTTTTTCTCTTAGTATTTTTAAAGTTCATCCATGTTGTAGCATGTCTTAGTACTTTATTCCTTTTTATGGCAAAATAATATTCCATTGTATGGATAGATCACATTTTGTTTACCCACTCATCAGGTGATGACATTTGAGGTATTTTTCCTTTTTGGTGCTTATGAGTAATGCTGTGAACATTTGTATATAACTTTTTTTTGAACACTTGTTTTCAGTTATTCGAGGTATATGCTTAGGAATAGAATTCCTGGGTTGTATGGTGTGGGGGTTCCAATTTTACTGCATCCTCACCAGCACTTGTTATTATCTGAATTTT